TGGTGTGTGCCTCAGTTTCCCCATTTGTTATATGGGAATAAAAGCACTGCCCTACCTCCCAGAGGTGGTGTGAAGTGCATTACAGATTGTGAAGTGTTTAGATGCTATGGGAATGGGGGCCAGAAGAGTACTTAAGACAGAAGTGATTTCATAATGATCATAGATAAACTTTGAGAGACAACATGTGAAATGGGGTAACTTTGAAAACAAGCTCTCTCCTCCCTTCCTCAATCACATGCTGTAATTAACATTGCCCATCTTAACACCTGGCTTCTTAGATAATACCTTTTATAAGCAGATCTCAAATTAGCACCTTATCATTTGTTGAAAACAGCCTCTTTATTATAAGAGTGATCTGTAGCATACAAAAGAAAAATATTAGTATGTACACAATTTTTTTTTGTAAAAATGAAATCCACACAGAAATCAGTAAAAAGAGAAGGCCATTTAGTGTTGCATATCATAGATAGGTATGACATATTTCCAGTTCAGGGGAATTCAAACACACACACACACACACACACACAAAAGAATTAACACTTCCAGATACAAGATACAATGAGCTCAAAACAGAATGATACAGTTCAGACAGATGTGTATAATGATTATTGGCTTGATTCTCCATTACAAACTCGGGTCTCTGAGGGCAGAATTCAGCCTGGAAAGCACAACTCCTCCAGGTAACATTAGAATGATTTGCTTACTGGCTACCAGAGAGAATACATTTCAGTCAATTTTCTTCCATGGCACTGCATTTAAAGACACATTTACAAAGTGCTGGGCATATACTGATCTTAGACCCAGCTGTACTGATTGTGGTTTAAGACACATGTTGGCAATTTTATCTCGAAAGGCATCATGGCACCAGAAAAACATGACATGTAATCTTGCCAAGAGTGAAAAATATGTATCTCACTCCACAGACTTCTAGAATTAAACATAGAAGAAGGCTGGAATGAAAGGAACACTTATGCACAGAACCCAAAATTCACTCTATACAAAACAAAGGGGAAGGTTTACAAAGCCTGGCGTGAATAGACATTTTTTGGAATTTTTAAATAAAACAAGTCAGTGACAAAGTTATTTGGATTTAAATGGCAGAGACCCAAATACAGTACAACTGCATCAGAAGGAGAAAGTGAACTGATGCCCAAAAGGGAAACCGACCAGTTTAACTTTAATGGTAAATGCAAAAGTGAGACACAGGATCAATTGTGAAAAACATAGTGGCTCTTCCAAATTCCCCATGTGGCAACTAGTTAGTGTTGTAGGTTTTTTAAAACCTATGTTGATAATATGGAGTTTTATGTTGATAATGGGCCAGAACATCAGCTGGTCTAAATCAACACAGTGATTCCAGGTGCTGTAAACAGCACAGCTTCAGTGAAGATCTGGACAAGTGCATCAGAGTACAAAGCTGTCTTCTTGCAGCTGTTGTGAAATATACCGGGGGAAGGGGAGGAGGAAGACACACCAGGTGATCATTTGTAAAGTACTAGGGGGCATTATTTGCATGTGTGAAACCAAAACAGTAGCCCTTTGCCTTCCAAAAATGAGAGGAAGTGGGTCCAGAGGTTGCCCAAGTGTAGTTAAAAAACACCCCTCCTGCGTTTTTAGCCAAACCTCAAACCAACAGCAATGTTTACATTGTTAAAAAAAAAAAAAATCTTGCAAACCCAAAACATTGCAGCCATTGTGCTAGAGTATGAAAACCTCAGTGTGAAACTGACTTGTAACTAACTGCCCTTAAGAGAAAAAAAATATAAAATGGGTTTAAAAAACAAACAAACAAAAAACATTTTGTCCAATTTTAATCAGTAAGGGGGGAATTTTGACGCATGGCCCGGTGTTTAGGAGCACAAGTATCAGGCAATTCAGAGAGATTTGTGCTCCAAAATCGCCCAGGGGCTTTTTAAAAGTCTTCCTATTGTTTGTAACAAGAACTGTGGGGTCATTTTCAGAAGGATGTGACATATGACCTAGTAAAAGGAGGAATCCAGTTATGCAAGCACTAGCAGTTGCAAATGGCTAAGAGGCAAACTATTTTCTCCCGCGGCCCCTCCCAACCTGCTAACCACAAGCTGAACGGGAAGTGCAGAATGAAGGCCAAGATCAGCGTTTTTAACAGCCCCCATGGCAGTCCCCAAAGCTGATCACAAAACAGGCACTGGCCAAAGCACCAACTCAGCCGGAATCCAATCGCAGAGGGGGATTGGAACCTTGAATACTTTGGGCCTGGTTCCATCAGCCTCATGTAGCAATTTTACCCGAGTGCATGCAAGGACCTAGCAGTGTTTCACACCCACTTGGCACTGCAGTGAACCTTGTATTAGATGCAGAACATAGGCATTTTGTCTGCTTTGAAGGCTTTTGCGGCATTAAAGAGACAAGATGCTTCAAGGTGCCTTCTACTGACATAACAGCTCAGAGTATTCAGGGTTCAGACACTGGGTGTCTCAGGTTTAACATGAATGATCCTCAGCCAAGAGTTTTCAACAGTGACTAAGGATTTTGGGTGCTTCAACTTTTGGCTACCCTTAAAAGGGGCCTGATGTGCAGGAATTGCTGAGCACCTGCCCTTTGAAAATCTAGTCCCATTGGAGGAGTCTCAGGCTGGACTTCCCCCAGACTCTCTACTGAAATCCAGAGCCCTTGTGTTTAGCTGACCTGTGGCTCATTCACAGCTGCAGCAGTTCCTCCACGTCTCCTTCCGCACACCCAGCTCCGTCCTGCATCCACTTCCCAGACCTCAGACACTGCAGGAGAAAAACTACCCCGCCTGTGCTCCACTCCAAATCTGCAAGAATCCACGTCTGTCTCACAAAGCCTTGTGCTTCAGTCCCATGGCACAAGACAGAGCCCAGCCTTTGCATATGGGTATCAGAGTTCTGCCCAGAGAACGTGGCTGTCACCTTTAACCAGCATGCTTTTCTTTTACCCCCAAGAAACTGGGACACTTTCTGTGGTGTACCATTTCAATGCTCACATTAACATGTTGACTCTGCAGTACAGTGAGAAATTGCTAGGTACCCCGGGGAAGGTTCTAAGCCCCACCCCACCCCCAGTTTGAAACAGGACCATGCCCTGTATTTTTTTGCACAATTTTTTATTTTTACTCAAATCACTAGCAACCCCCACCTCCGCTCCATTCAGCACTTGGAACTAGATTCACCGCTGTCCTGCACCTTTGTGCTGTGGTTCCTGTTAGTGCAAAGCGAGCGCAAGATGCTAACTGGGTCAGAACAACACTGGGGAAAAACAGAGCTGATCACAAACGTGGCTTGGAAGCAGAAGGGGCAGTGCCATCATACTGGGAGAACGGCTGGAGCCAGAGCACTGGCTGGCAGAGCTAGAAATCAGACCAGGACCCAGATGAACCTAAGGCTGGAGCGAAATCATTTATGAAGTCCCCATAGCAGACCACCTTTCCCACAGAGATGAGAAGGACAGAGCCCAACACTTGGATCCAAGCCCTAGCTGGAGAACCCCTGGAGTCACTGACTGACCTAGCACGAAGGCAATGGCACACGCTCCAGAAATACACTAATCATGGGACTGCACATGCTATAAAGCCAGAGGGAAGTTAGACAAGTTGTTAGTTGGGCCCAGCTAACCCACTGGTGCGTCCACCGTGCCGTATTGAAAAGCCTGCTGCATCAACGCCTCTGTCAGCACCAGTCCAGCCCTCCCAACACGCAGGCTGTCCCTGACAAGAGCCAAAGCTTTGCATGCCATTTGGGGGCAAACGCAGCCAGCCCTGGCAAAGCAGCTGGCCTGCTTCCGTTAAGTGCTGCAGCTTTTCCAGCCAACCCTAAAAATAATTGGAGCCTAATTTTTTCCCTTCCTCAAACTGAATCTCCCCCCCACCTTACACTTTTGCTGTCAAACAGGTTCTGAAACCAGCCAAGCCACTTGGTAACACACGGAAAAACTCCATCTTTCTACCTTACGATCCGTGAACAAACTCTGCCCCAGAGGAAAGTCTGCCTACGCCTCCCACTCCTGCTGCCACTGGATCAGCAACATCAGTGCTTAGCGACACTGCAATGCCAGGAGGGCCCAAAGGAACTGAAGACAAGACCACCTGGAAATCCCCAAGGGAAACCCGAGATGAACACTTCAACCCCTTAGGCACTGACAGTCCCCCCCTCCAAGCAGTCTGATTGCTGATCAGTTTGGATGCCGGATTGGCATTGACAAGTGCTCAAAGCCAACAGATGGGGACTAGTGTTTTTCCCAAAGGAGTGCAGGGGAATCCCATTGAAATTCAATGGGAGTTGCTGCCTGAAACCCTTTGGAAATCTAAGACACTGAGCTCAAAATGCCAGCCTCACCCCAACCGCACCATGGGCTCAGCTGCCAACCCTCAGGGGAAGAAGGCAAAGCTTTTTTGGCACAAGTGCCGCTAACACAGGATAAGCAGTTTAGATCTATAGCTTATGGCCGTTTACCCTCTCTAGGCAGTGCAGGGGAATGAACTGCCACCCAGGCTCAGTCCACGAGCAGGAACATCTGGTTCCCTGGTGGGATGTGCTGAGCAGGCAACAAGCGAACTGTTGTGGTACAATCCCTGGAAAACCCTCGCTGCCGTAGGAGCGAGATTTCCAAGGTGACATGCATGATGGAGACCGGGGAGCCCAGCAGCATGCGCTGTGCTTGTGCAGCTGAGGTGTGTAGCTGTTAAGTCTGTATAGCTTAAGATTCTCAATACCCCTGGGTGATGTCCCTCCTGCCGCAGATTGCCCACGCACACAAAGCCACGGCCAGCCACCAAGGGGTTGTCTAGATGAGGAAATTGACTTATTCCACTTTCACACTCTCAGCTTGCTTCCCACTCTCCAAGCAGCACTGCAGTAAGCAAGGCTAAGGTTTCCAATCAGCACCCAATTCCCAGTGAAATTCAACAGGAGTTCAGAGACTAAATCCCCTCTGTCCCTTTAAACATCCCACCCTGAAAGGTTTTTTCCCATATTAAAAGGAGGTCTCCACCTACCCAGTGCAGTTAAAAAGGGGGAGGGAGGTTAACAAGCAACACAGTCATTTAATAAGCACCCACTAGAGCTCTTCCCCATTAGGGAAATAAAGCACTCACAGGAAAGTGTGCAGTGCTGGGGTTTTAAGGCTAAGATTTTCAAAAATGAAGCAAGAGATTTAGATGCAGAGCTCTTGTTAAAGTTAACAGGGCTGGTGTATCTAAACCCCTCTGGCTCAAGTCCAAACCACAGACACAGGCTGAGTTGTTCAAAACAGCCTCTCTGTACTGAATGGATAAGGCAAAGCTGTTTGGACCCCGGCATATGTCACCACACCCAACTTGAACTAGACCAACCAGCAGCCTCAGAAAGGCAAGGAGGTTGTTCCTTCCAACAGCTGCACATCCAGCAAGGAAACCTGCTGCAGTCAATTACTGAGCCTTTGTGTTAATACCCCAGTGTCTCTCCTTCACAGCTGAACAAGGCTTCATGTGGGGGAGTCACCCATTTCCTGCACCAGCAACTCACTTGTCCAGCCATCGAGAAAAATATCCCATCAACAGAAAGGGCGATACATACAAACCCCTCCAAAAAGCAGGCTGAGTTCCTGGGGCAGGAAGTAGATGCAGAAGCCAAGAAGGGATTTTTAGGGCCGGTGAGATGTCCTGAGCTGATAGGCCCAGGAGGCCTGTTTCTCAGTGAAGCGTCGGCAGCAAAGCAATCTTCCCCGCTTCACTTCACTGAACACCTCGTGCCTACCTCTCCTGGACTGAATTAGCCATGGACCAGAGGCGAGGCCAGCTTTGAAATCAGACTCCCCCAGCTGAATTGCAAAAGGTCTTAAAGCTGCTACGCAATCAGTTCACCCAGAAACGCAGGCGGGGTTATGTCAGAATCACTATCCCCCTTCCCCATCCGACTCCCACACAGGTTTGAAAATGGAACGACCCACCAGGGGATATAGCCAAGACACCTCAACATTCTATCAGATGTGGAATGAACCAACACCACACAGCCCTTCCCGCCCTGCGCGGGAGACCGGACAAATCCCTCCCCTCAAGGGGAGGCGACATTCAGAGACAGGAGAGTTCCCCACTCAGGACAAGCGAGGTGCTGCAGGACCCTGACGTGCTGAACTGATGGGCACGTGCAGGCAGGTTCTGGCCCTGCACTCCGTGAAGCCTGTGCTGACGGGACACTTCACCCCGGAGGAGAGACTCAGAGCTCTGGGGCAGAAACGATGCAGAGCGCGCTCTCCATCAGGGCAGCTCTCAGAGGCCTAGGAGCGCGGAGGGGTGGGCAAGATGATCTCAGAGCAATACTGGCTCGGCGAGGTGGCATGGCTGCTCTTCCCCTCATGTACATCGGTGCCAACCGAAATCAACGGCGGCGTGCCAGCACAGATACAGTAGAACCACACCGGGAGGCTTCCACCACCCAGGGGAGGGAGGGGGTGTCACTGCCCAGCTGCAGTGAACACTCAAAGCAACATAACCAGAGGAGCCCAGGCACCCGAGGGCTCAGGCTGGAATGGCTGCAGAAGAGAGAATAGACAGGACTTTCGATGCAGCAAGGTGGGATCCCATTGGTATAAATTAACACAGAATAACTTAGAGAGGCACCTAGGCATCCTAGCTCAGAGGAGAGCCAGCGTGCTGGGCACAGGGCATGCCCCTAGATGGATCGGTCCATTGCTCCCTGTGCACCAGCGAAGACGGCACTCAGCCCTGCTCCAGGCTCTCTGCTGGAGCCTGCACAGCTGAGTAGGTGGTAGGGCCATGAGAGAACTGGCGGGTGAAGAAGGAGGCCGTCCGCTTGGGTTTCACACGCTTGATCTCTTTACCTGGAGCCCAGGGAGCGGGTAAGAGGGTGGGGAGGAGAGATACGGGCACAAGTCAGCTCTAGATTCACTCACTGGACTCCATGGGGCCACAGCTTAATGGTGGAAGTGAAAATGGCTAACAAAATGACTGCTTCCCCCGAGACACAGCTCCTGAGAGTCACAGCAGCGCTTAAGGCAGGATTTGTGGGTTCTATCCATACTGGGGAAAGGGGCGGGGGAAGCTGGGAGCCAGGATGCCTGGGTTCTCTCACCGGCTCTGGAGGGAAGTAGGGTCTAGTGGTTAGAGCAGAGGAACGGGCGTCAGGACTCCTAGGTTCTCTCCCTCGCTCTGGGAAGGGAGTTGGGTCTAGTGGATTACAGTAGTGGAGGGTGGGACCCCTGGGTTCTATCCCAGGCTCTGCCACTGACTCACCCACCAGTTTGGTCCCCCCGGTAATGCTGGGGTGATAATGGAGCTATGAGACTCCACCGGGGGTGACTCGAGCGAGAGATACAGGAGGTTCCAGAGGACTGGTAGAGGGCAGGGCAGGCCCAGTTGTGGCTCCAAGCTGGGTGCAGCACCCCGGGATGAACCCCCCACCCCCTTACCATCCTCAATGTAGTCTATGGTGGCGAGGTGCTGGATCCGGCTGCAGACCACGCTGTTCTGCCGTCTCAGCTTGGGGCGCTGCTTGCTGGCCAGAGGTGGCAGTGTGGGGCTCTGGAGGGTGCTGTTCTCCAGGGCCGATGCCTCCGCTGCTGCGTTCAGCTCCAGGCAGTACTCGATAAGGCCACTCATCAGCTCTGCCTGCAGGGAGAAGGGGTTGTTGGTCAGCTGGGCCTTCCCCACTAGGGCGCAGCGGGGACTGGTGGGCTCAGGGAGGTGGGGAATGGGACAGGAGGCCGTTCCTCTATAGGGGCTCCAAGTCTGATCAGGCCCAATGCAGGAGAGATTGGCTGGCTCAGGGAATGGGACCTGGAGACTTCCCCCTCTAACCCAGCCACAAGAAGAGCCTATTCCCAGGCCGGTGGCTATTTTTTGGCCTGTGAAACAAATCCAGGCTCCGGTAGGGGAAAATGGCCAGTGCTGTGACGGGAGCATTGCTCTGAGCACTGACTATACCGCCTGCCGCTCGCTGGCAGCTTCCGTGGGGCAGGCAGATGCTGGATGGGGCCCAGAGACCGAAAACACCCCAGAGATCCCAGTCACCTGCTTGGAGTAAACCTTCAGCAGCTTGTTGACCAGGGTCCCTTCGTTTTCCCCATCGAACTCCAGCCAGAGGATGTGCTCCTCCTCCTCATCGGGGTACGTGTGGTCCCAGGAGAGTTCCTGGAACCGCAGGCCCAGCAAGACGTGCTGCCATAGAAAGAGTGATGGAGCATGGGACATTTCTCTCCCAGGGAGTGCCAGCTATAATCCAGCCCCAGGGCGGGGGGACTGGCTGGCTGGCTTGTGGGGGGAGAGGGGCACGGGGGAATGGGACATGGGGTCTTTCCCTTCTAGGGGGCACTGGCTGTGATCCGGCCCCATAGCAGGGGGACTGGCTGGCTCAGCAGGGTGGAAAACAGCACACACATGGGCAGTACTAGGAGGCGCTAGAGTGTGTGGGGAGCGGCACTAGGCGGTCCAGGGAGGATCTGGGCAGCACTAGGAGGCGCTGTGGGATATGGGGGATCCAGAGGCAGCCCCCAGCCATGTCCCTGTGCACAGCTCTCATGCACCCCCCGCCACTGGAGATCCCCTGAGCAGCGTTACCTTCTCCTTGCTATCCATGACGTACACACCCTCCAGGCTGATGGCGACCGACACTGCCTTGCGTCCTCCCCGGTGCAGGAAGCCCTGGGCTGGCTTGTCAATCTCCCCATAAAAGAAAGCACAACTGGAGAGAGAGAGAGAGAGAGACACACCCGTTGCACCAGGGCAGGTAGGCCTCACATGGGGAAGTGCTTGGATTGCACAAGCACTCACTAACAGAACTGGGAAGGCTTGGGGGTTTGTCCCCCTGGGCACCATATTCCTCCCCCATGTCCTCCGACCCACAGATAGCAAAGATACAGGCGCTATTGTGAGATCTTGTCACGCTACGGCCAGGAAATGGTTCTTGCACAACTAGGTCACTGCCTGAGGGGCCTAGGCAGACCGCGAACGGGGGAGATGGTGGGATTGCTGGGCTGGGATTGCCAAACACCCCCCCCCCCACATACTGACAGGTGCAGGAGTTACCAGGTTATTCAGCCGCCAAGTGCCCAGACTCACCCATAGTATGGCAGCTGGTGGCACCTCTGCAGATAGGCCCGGTAGTGCTGGCGCAGAGCCTCAGGCTCCTCGCAGGCTGCCTCCTCCCGCACTGCTTGGTAGGCCTGGAGCAGCCCCTGCTCGTAGGCCGGCTGCTTGGCCCCCCGCTTCCACAGCGCCGTCAGCAGGCTGTGCCCCCGCCGGCACAGGTGAGCGGGCAGGAAGGCCTCCAGCTTCTCCCTGCAGGGACAGCACAGCTCTCAGAACAGGGGGGCAGCAGCCCCCTCATAGCCCCCAGGCTAGGACAGCTCCCTCCCCTTCAGCCCCTCCACTCCAGGGCTATGACACCTCCCTCCCCCGCAACCCTCTTTACTGAGATTCCACCCTCCCCCATTAAGAGAGCCTCCTGATCCGGTTAACCATCCTCCATCCTCTCCAGCTCCCCCTCTGAGATTGTAACTTGTGTGGGTACCACCGGTCTGGTGGTTAGAGGGGAGGAAGGAGGGGAAAGGAGCCAGGACTCCAGGGTTCTATTCCGAGCTCTGCCACGGTCAGGATCAGAAACATCACAGCTTACAGAATATTTACGAGTACATCTCTGGCATCATCTCCGTTCTGCACAGACAGGCCGGTGGAGGGCACATTTTAAACAGCTGCGACTAGACTCACCAGGAGAGGTGGGTGTTGCACAGCTACAAGCACCACCCCACTGAATAGCACCGTTGTTCACAAGCAAGCCCAGATAAGCTGCCCCACAGACCGAGCATTGCTGGGTGGGACAATGAGCCATTATCCTGGCTCAGGACCCCAGCCAATCTCGCATTCTTTGGGAGCGAGTGAGCTGCGTGGGATCAGCAGACCCCCTACCAGGAGTGTCCAGCTCCACAGAGTGGGGGAAACCTGCCTCATCTTCATTCGCTAGCATCACTCCAAGCACGGGAAAGCACATTCCGCAGTGGGACTAGGAGCTGGTGCTCCTCAGTTCTATTCCCAGCTCCAGGAAAGGAGTGGGGTCCAGTGGTTAGAGCAAAAGGGGGCCAGGAGCCAGGAGTCCTGGGATCCATTCCCAGTTCTGGGAGGGAAGTAAACTCAACTAGATTAAGGATGTCAAACATATAGCCTGCAGACCAAGCGTGGCCTGTATGATGTATTTGTGGCTTGCATAACATTCAAATGGTACAAAAACTCAAGCTTCCCAATGTCACCGGAGTGTGACTGATATCACAGTGCCTGCCTGAGTCTGCCAAGAGCTCGACACAATAGCTCAGAGATGGATTGGGGGGAATGCCCTGAGTGCAAGCAACACAGTGAGGTCTGCCTGAGTCTGCAGAGAGCCCGAACCAATTGCTTTGGGTGAGGGAGGGAAAACTGCCCTGAATGTAACTGACACACCTGAGTCTCTAATGATACTCTAAGGGGTCCACTCCCCATGACACACACTAATCTCACTGGAGATCGAGCTCTAAGATGACAAGTGTCAGACTATTCCATGGCTGATCATTTTAGCAGATGGAAAGGGAGAGGAAGTGGGGAGCAACTGTTGTAGGGAAGGGAGAGAAGAGAGAAGAAACAAGGAGAGAAAGAGAAAGGAAGATGGGAGAATGAAGAACCAAAGTGGGAAAGCAATGATCAGCCTACAGCTTTGCTCCTGGACCGATATTGGACGCAGGAACAGAAGCGTAGCCGGCACAGCTTGCAAAGCCTCTACACTCAACTCAATGGCATTTCTCTGTATAGATGTAACAATAGTTTTTGACTGCTGCATCTGATCATTGCCAAAATTTCAGGAAATGTTCTAGGCATCTATGGCCAGAACCCAATGGATTTGGGGAGAAAACCACAAGGGGAAAATATGGAGGACACATAGAGCCTCTATCATTTGATTCACACAGCCAGTGTCAAGCACTTGTGCATAAATCAAACAATTAGTTGATGGCTCTATTAACGCCTCCAGCATACCACCACCCCTGCTTCTCTCTGCTCATCCTCCCAAGAGTAACACGTTGACACCCCGAATGACTAATTGCCCAGACGGAAAGAATAAGGGGGGAGGGGATGGGGAAGAGGATAGGAGCATGCACACAACCCCTGGCACAGGGAGGAGAATGGGAGACCCTGATATGGGGGTAAGGGGACTGGGTGGCATCCAGAACCCCTAGCATGGGGGAAAGGGTTTTTCTGAGAGGGTGCCCCTGAGATGGAGGGTGGCACATAGGGAACTGTGGAGGGATGTATGGAGCCCCTGTGCAATGCGCTTGGCCTACGCAAGCTACCAAGCGTACAGCCCCCAGTAACTGCATAAAGGCTGCTCTCCCCTTGCTCCCAGGGCCAGACCCACACCAACACCAATGGGAGATCTACTGGGCATCCAAGGGGAGTACATAGCCCTGAGTTTATACTCCAGCCCAAAGTTAAAAGGCTGATCCTCCAGATGACTGACGCCCCTGCTCTAGACAATGCCTCCCTCCCCCGCTTACTTCAAGGCACAGGCCGTATGCTGGTCCTGGTCGTAGGGCCCCAGCTGCAGCCTGCAGACCAGGGCCCCCAGCTGCTCGCAGTCTTCCATGTCACACGGGTAGCGTCCCTCCAGGATGTTGAACTTGGCCTCTTCGTAGAGCAGCCGCAGGACAGCCTCGTTTTCAATCTGCGGGCCAAAGGGTGTGATCAAAGCTAAGGCCAGAGGGTGGCTCCAGTTCCACCTCTGGCTCAAGCTGGGCTGCCTGGGTGGTTAATTTTAAGGCCAAAAGGGCTCAGTCGATCATCTAGTCTTGTCTCCCGTCTGACACAGGCCATTACATTTCATCCAGCTACCCCTGTATTGAGCCCAGTCCCCGATCGAGCTCTTCCAGCTTCAAAGATGGCGACTCCGCCACTCCCCTTGAGAATTTGTTGCAGTGGTTAATCACCTGCACTGTTAAAAACTGGTGCCTTATTTCTGATTGGAACATGTCTGGCTTCAACTTCCACCCTTTGGTTCCTCTTCTACCTCTCTCTGCTAGGTTAAGAGTCCTGTAGCGGAGCTGGCTGGGAAGCAATTCCGTTGCATGGAAAAATTTGAAGTTTCAACATTTGTTTTTGTTCCGATGGGAGAACGAAACCGAAACTTTTCAAAATTTCTCATGCCCCCCCCGATAGGATAGAAGCACTCGTGCAGGATGTGGGGGACCCACATTTAACACCCTACTCCCAATCTAAATCCGGCAGAGCAAGGACTTGAACCTGGGTTTCTCACATCCCAGGAAAGCGTCCTAACCATTGCACTACTGCCCCACCTCTCTCTTGGTGGCCCTCCCGGGCCTGGAGAAGTTTTCCCTGCTACATGTGTCAAAAGGGGTTTCTGCAGAGTTTTGGTTTCCACAATCTGACATTTTCCAAACAAAAATCATTTTGTTGACGAATTCCCAACTAGTTCTATCCTTTTGGTATGTGGGGTTTTCTCCCCATGAAGGTATCCCATACTAACAGATCCTCTCTCAATCTGCTTTGTAGTAAAATGAACAAACTGAGCTGCTTAAGTCTCTCGCTGCATGGCACCGGGAACAGAGTTAAATTAAACTGAATTTATAACATCTCCAGAGGAGCTGGAACCAGTTAGAATTCAAATCTGTGGTTAACCAATGTGACTTTCCCACTGTAGATGATGCCTAAGGAACCAGAGCAGGAGCCAGAGGGACTGATTTGACAGCTTGACACAAAGTCCAGAACACCGGGTTGGTCGTAGCAAGATTTTACAAAAGCCTAGAGACAGAACAGATGTTTTTGTAGGAGGAATGGTCTTAGGGCCCGGCATTTGGATGCAGGACACCTGGGTTCTATTCCTGGCTCTGCCACTGATTCCCCTGTGTGACCTTGGGCAAGTCACTTCCCCTCTCTGTGCCTCAGTTTCCTCATTTGTATAACAGCAAAAATAATCCCCCATCTCTCTAGGACTGTCTCTCAGCATGTACCCGTGCAGTGCCCCACATGATGTGGCCCTCACCTCGGGTGGGGGATAGTCTGTGTGGTGCCTGGCACAACAGGGGCCATGATCTGGGCTGCCAGGGAGGGGACACCCGTGCAGAGCTACTGCAACAGAAATTGCGAATGACAAGGCTAGGATTTCCCGAGGACCCCATCTCTTGTGGGCTTGCAGTGGGTTAGGCTCTTAACTCCCAAGATAATCAGAGGCTAAACAATAAGAAGTTGATCAATATGCTAAAGGCCTCGCCACACAGTCATAGAGGTGAGTGACACCAGCAGAGGAGACTCAGATAGGAGCCCACGTGCTCACCTGCAGCTCCCTTCTCTTCGGGAAAAACACGTTCCTTCTGAACTGCAGGGAAGGCTCATCTGGGAGACAAAAGAGACCCCAGTAAAGACATGTACGTGGTCCAAAAGAGTCTGCTTTACCACTGCCTCCTGGAAACTGGGGAGCCAGCCAGGCCGGATACACAGGTCAGAGCTGGGAAGAGAACCCTAGAATCCCAGCTACCAACCCCACTAGACTCCCTCCCCTTCCCCAAGAAACCCAGAGTCCTGACTGTCACTCCCTGCTCTAACCCACTAGATGCCTCCCCTCCCCCAGCTGGGACTAGAACCTATGATTCCTAACTCCCAAAGCTTTCACCCACTTGACCACATCCCCCTAGGAATCCTGGCTCTTTTCACACACACCCAGCTCTAGCCATTGGCATACTCCCCCCCCCCCCCCCCCCTTACAACTAAGCCAGGCAGTATGAGCTCAGCAATTGGAGGAGGGCATTCCAAGGTCGAGGCGGGGGTGTCAGCAGGCCAGAAAGGAGCGAGGAAGCTTCGCACACGCACCCTGCATGATCTCATCCTCCTGGCAATCAGTGAAACGCAAGAGCAGCTCCTGCCACTGGCGGCACACCTTGTATGGCTGGTGCTTCGGCTTCAGCTGCACCTCTAAGACAGAAAGAGAGAGTCTCTAACAGAGCATCAGCCCTACAGCCCAGGAGCCAGACCCAGAGTCAATTGTCCAGGGAACCCAGCTACAGCCCAAAGTTGGTATTAATAATACTGTGGAACCCCGGAGTCCTGGCTCCCAGCCCCCACTGCACCCCACTCTCCTCCCAGCCGTCAGGACAGAATCACAGTACTATGAATAATGCACACCCCATAAAGAGGCCCTGTTGTCACCTGAGTCCTCTAGGCACTACCGTAATAGAAATAAAAGACCAGCCCTCCTGGACCACTTATAAGCACTTGCTAAAATCATCACTGACAGGGCTCAGGGACAGTCAGCAGGTGGGGTGGGATGGGAGAACTCACCCCGCCCCCTTTGTGAATGCTCCCTCTGTCCCCACAGACCAGGGGGAGAGTGCAGAGGAGGGGTAACAGCTGTGCTCCTGTCCATCGGAGTCCCAAGCAGGAGATGCAAAGGCCATTCACACAGCAGGTTGGGATGCCACAGGGGGAGACGGTGCTGCTAACCGAGGGTAGCAGAAGCACAGGTGGCAATGGAGACTGGCAGATGGAAAACCACACCCCAAAAACTCATTGATCTGAAGCATATTCCACTTCCTGCAGTTCTTTATAGCGCACCTGTTGGCATAGCTAAGGCTGTGTGTCTGTCAGGCTGTGGGAGGGGGGCGGAAAGTCCTTACCTCGGGGGGGGGGGAGGACCGGAAGCGGCCGGCAGGTCCCTTGCAGCTCTTAGGCGGAGGGGCCAGGAGGCTCTGTGCGTTGCCCCTGCCTGCAGGCACTGCCCCCGCAGCTCCCATTGGCTTCAGTTCCTGGCCAGAGGGAGCTGCAGAGCCAGCACAGAGACCCCCTGGCTTTCCCTCCCCATAGGAGCTGCAGGGACATGCTGGCTGCTTCTGGGGAGCTACACGGAACCGGGTAAGGAACCTGCCAGCCCTGCCAACCCTCCCCCCCAGCACCAGTGGGGGTCCTGCCCCGAGCACCCACGGCCCACTCCCCTTCCCCCCACCCCCCGAGCACCCGCGGCCCGCTCCCCCCCACTCCCTGTCCCGCCCCAAGCACCCGTGGCCCAAGTTTTAGTCAGGGGTATATAGTACAAGTCATGGACAGGTCACGGGCCATGAATTTTTGTTTACTGCCCATGACCTTTACTAAAAATACCCGTGACTAAAACGTAGCCTTAGTCATAGCATCTAGGCATCTGGACAGAGATTGAGCCCTAATGACAGATGCAACACCTTGTACTAATAGTAACACTGGCTTCCAGGCTCTGTGCTCTAACCCACTAGACCCCACGCCCTTCCCAGAGCTGGGGATAGAACCGATGGGAGTCCTGACTCCCAGTCTCCTTTCACACTGGAGGGAATCAAACCCAGCAATACTGGTTGCATCTGCTAAAAAGCCCGAGATGCTAAGTTTTGAAGACAGTCAGACATTGCTGGGACTCCCATTACTGGGAGAGGGTCAATGAAAACCAGCAGGCTGGGGAGATTGGGGGAGGTCAGAGAGTAAGCAAGGAACATCTGACAGGTTACAGCAGTGATGTGCTAGGGATGGGAAGCTGATGGGAGATAAGGGAACAGATGTAAGTCAGGTGACAAAGACATCAGCCAAGCTAGCTGGAACCGTGCCATGAAATGATTCATTTTGCCTGGATGTTCCTTGGAAGTTTCCGTTCTGCTCCCGACATGCTCCCAGCTGGGAAGACTCAGGATCAACAGCCCCAGATTAACCCACTGCCTGCCATTCAACACTTCCTGCTAATACCCCTCCGGCTGGAGGCTCAGGCACCACAGGGCAGAGCCAGTTGAAGGACTTTTGCACAGGGTTCCTGGTTGCACTTAAAGCAAATGATTGTCCAGTAAGTGTGCAAGAGAGGAAATGTTACTAGTGTTCATCACAGTAAGTCAATGTAACATCATACGCTCACTCTAGGGGCAGCCGTACCGCAGTACCCACTGAGGGACCTCTGTATAAACAACAGCCGGATTCCAAAAGCACTTTATTACAAACAGAGCAGTTGCTTTGACAACAGTTGAAATGCAGCCACCTCTGGGGTGATGTTTATACAGCGTTCCCTCGCTCAACACAGAGATGCGGCCACCTCCGGGGTGAGGCGCTGAGGCTGTTTAGAACAGAAAGCATTTCAGAACCTCTATTTAGGAACACAGGTGGATGGATACAGGAAGTTTCCTCATTCCTTATTTATTTTAACAAACAATGGCTGAGTCACACAACAGCAAAGGGACACATTTCCAACCTACCTGAAATCAAACAGCAACCATTTACTACATCCAGAATAGACAATGCGAAGTGAGAAGCAGATAAATACTTTGTCAGTGGAAAGACATGGCAGGCTAATGATTTCAGCACTGGACCGAGAGTCAGGACTCCTGGGTTCTATCCCTAGCAATAGGAGGGGACTGTGGCTTAGTGCTCGGAGCTGGGAACCAGATTGCTGGGTTCCATTCCCCGCTCTGGGAGGGGAGGAGTGGCCTAATGGTTAGAGTGGAGGGGACTGGGAGTCAGGACCCCTGGGTTCCATTGCCAGCTCCACCAATGACTCTACACATGACCTCAGACCAATCCCTTCCCCTCTCTGTGCCTAAGTTTCCCCTGTAAAAGGGGGTGATGAGACTTGCAAAGTCTTGGGTAATGCAACAGTAGCAGAGGCTGTGCACAGGCCCCCCTGGGTGATAGGAGAGGGCGTAGCATAAGAGATCCTGACAATGAACCAAGCACCTTACCAAGCAAGGGAGAGATGAGCCACAGAGCGAAGACTTCCATGGCACACTCAGGAAGCTGCAGGGCTTCCCGGACGATGCGATGTAGCTCATGAACAGTGACAGACATCAGACTGTCCACGCTCAGCTGCACCGCAGTATCATCAATCAGATATACCAGGACATCCAGCGCTAAGAGGAGAGCAGAGGGTCAGTTTTCCTGTTTCATGGAAGTTTTTGATACCCAAAAAATTTTTCCTTCCCAAACTAAGATAAAAAGTCAAAAACATGAACATTTTCACAAACCGAAGAGTTGAAAAAAATTTCAGTCCAGATCAGTTTTGATGTATTTCAATGTCGATCTTTTTAAATCTATATTTGCTAAAATTTCCAAACAACACATCATTTTGACTCAAACCCCCAGAACTCTCTGGTTCAAAAAAGACAACACAGCCTGTTAACTGCAAAATTGTTTATTTTCCCAAAAGTTTTTGAGCTCGGAGATTTGTCAAAACCGACCGTTTCATGAACAGTTTTGGTTTTGGCAAAGTTGAATCTTTGGGTGACAAACAATGCATGGAAAAAGTCCTGACCTGCTGTAGCCATGACACAGCTGACTCATTGGGGGCCCAAGAGTTGGCTTACATCAACCTTTATACTCAACTTTGTCTAATTCCAGTGATATTCTAGGCAGGTCCCTATAGAACTTGGTGAAAAAAAGTCACAAAAACTGGAAAGGGAGAAATGGGGGGCCATATACAGCCCCTGGCATGGGGGAAAAAAGGGAATGGGGTTGCAGGGAGTTCCTGAAGTAGAGGAGGATGGGGGCATGGCATACAGGTCGCTGGGGGGAAAGGGGTGATGTGGAAATGGAGAGACGTAAGGAGCCCGGGGTGTGTAATGAGTTCATCCTACACAAGCTATTAAGTGTGAGACACTCTAGTAAATCCAGTCCTGGAGTTTGGGACAGAACCCAAGAGTTTTGCCTCTCTACCCCTCTCCCCCCACTCTGGAGCCCATTCCCCTCCCAGAGCTGGGAAAAGAACCCAGGGGTCCTAGGTCCCAATCCCTGACCCGAAACCACCAGACAACCCACTCTCCTCTAAGAGACACCACCCGCCTTCCAAATATCACCTACATCGGGCACACATGGAAGAGATGCTGCTTCGATGGGAGCGATCGGCCAAGCTGGGGGGGACTGCAGCCCCATCTGCTCCTTCCATCTGCAGACACACAAACATGGGGGGGGGGGTTCAGACCATGATGGGGGTTGTCCAGACCATGATGGGGGTTGTCACCAAGAGAGACACCCCCAGACAGAGAGGGTTTTTCAGGGCGGGAGGGGAGACACACTGGGGTAAACACCCCAGTGGGCGAGAGCAGGGGCTTCGAGGAGGGCATAGATGGGAGCCAAGCCCCAGGGAACCTGGGCTGGTGTGGAGGAGGGCAATGCTGGACACAAGTGGGGGGATAGGAGCCTCCAAGTAGAAGTGTAAGGGCCCACTAGTTAGGTATCTTAACAGCACTGGGAGACCCTTGTGTGGGGGGAAGATAGTGGATGGGGGAGGCGGGGAGCCCCCTGGGGGGAAGCCAGGGATATCCCAGGACCTTGCGGGGGGGGGGGGGGGGGCGGGAGATCCTGGGGTTCTGCATGGCCCCCCAAGGTTGGGAGCCCTCTAGATGGGTGGCGGGGTCACAGATGGACCTTTGGAAGAGGGGGTGCAGGGCCATGGGGGAGCCGGCTCAAGGAGGAGGGGTGCAGGTCCCCACAGCAGGGAGGCAGAGGGTCCTCTGTGGGGGCGGGGCAGAGGGTCTCGAGTGTGAGAGGGGTGCAGGGCACCAGAGCAGGGGGGAAGAACATTGGGTCTCTTGGGTTGGAGGGAGTGCGGGGCACTGGGAGGGAGGGGCAGAGGGTCCCTGGTGGGGAGGGGCCTCGGAGCGCGGGGCGGCGGGGAGCAGAGAGTCCTTGGTGGGGAGGGGGTGCTGGGCCCCAGAGCGGGGAGCCTGGGGAATCCCTTGGGTGGAGGGGAGCCCAGACCCCCGGAAAGCCCCAGGGGACCTCCTCTCAACCCCCCTCTCACCTCCATGGCGCCGTCGCTCGCCGCCCGCCCGAATCTCTCCCGCTCCCTGCCTGGCTCTGTGCAGCTGGAAGCAGCGCGGGCGGCGAGCCCCGGAAGCTGGAGGAGGGATGTCCCGCCCAATCCCCGCCCGCGCTGGCTGTGACGTCACGAAGAGTCTCCTCGCCGAGCCTGACGGTTGGCGGCGGCGCCCGCACCGGAATTCGATTTGCGGGATAACCCGGTCCCGGGCAGGTTTGTGGTGCTGAGGTACGAACCGGGGGGCCCCAAACCCAACACTGAACTTTTAACCCGTCAGAGCCAGCGATGCCAACGGGGGCAGATAAACGGGCGGGCTCTGCGCTGCAAAAGGGGCTACAGCAGGCGACACCCCACGCTGGGGTCAGCCAGTTGCACCCAGTCCCCCCGCAGGGCGCGGATCACAGGCCCGCACAGGGGTGAGTATTCCCAGCGTTGCCAACGCGGGAGCCTCTATTTCCCCTCCCCCCGCTGGTTCTTAGGCTGGGAGCAATGCGGGACGGGGCTGTCTCGCTGTGTGGGTGTAGCGCACAGCTCGCCGGGGTCAGGGTTTGTGCAGCACGTGACCTGAGATGGGCCACAACCTCAGTCAGGGTCTGAGCAGCATCCAGTGGGACCTGGCCCTGGTCTCTGTGCGGGTCTGTGGGGCCCCTGTCTCAGTCAGGGTCCATGCAGCGCCTGGCACAACATGGGCCCTACCCTGCTCTCAGTCAAGATTAACTGGGCGGAGTGGGGACTCTGATCTCAGTTGGGGCCTTCAGACCCTACCCTAGACAACGAGTGCACTGAAGTAGGTGTCTGCTTCCCTCTAGTGGTAGCTTGATATGATGGGCCGTGTTAGTCTGTCTGCAAAAACAACGAGGAGTCCTTGTGGAACCTCTGCGCATGTCTATAAACAAGGTTGCTGTCGATGAGATTTAGTTTCCGGCTACGTTGCGCCCTCCACCACCATGGGGTAAGTCTGCCCGTGGGGTGCAGAGAGGAGGGTTAGCCGCTAAGGGCCATTGCACAAGATGCAACAGAGGGTCCTGTGGCACCTTTAAGACTAACAGAAGTATTGGGAGCATAAAAAGAAAGCTTATGCTCCCAATACTTCTGTTAGTCTTAAAGGTGCCACAGGACCCTCTGTTGCTTTTTACAGATTCAGACTAACACGGCTACCCCTCTGATAATTGCACAAGATGTAGCGCTGGTTTGCGAGGATCTGGCCATGCATGCAACTCGCTGTTAGGGCCCCAGTGCACATGCCACGTGCGCGTGCTGCAAACTAGTTCAGGGCCTTGGGTTAGGGGGAGAGGAAAGGTTTGCAAAGGCAGCTGGGGGGTGCTGGGATGGAGGCACTAGCCTGGGACTGAGGAAGCTGCTTTCATCCTGGCTAGGAAAAAAGGTGCTGGCGCATTACTTTGTCAGGGAGTGGGGTGGGGAAGCTTTCTGTCTGGCTGGGAGAGGAGGAGATGATACAGTGGTTAAAGCAGGGGGCCTGGGGGGAGGGATAGCTCAGTGGCTTGAGCATTGGCCTGCTAAACCGAGGGTTGTGAGTTCAATCCTTGAGGGGGCCATTTAGGGATCGGGGCAAAAATCTGTCAGGGGATTGGTCCCGCTTTGAGCAGGGCATTGGACTAGATGACCTCCTGAGGTCCCTTCCAACCCTGATATTCTATTCTAGTCTATGATTCTTCTGGGTTTCATCCCCAGCTCAGGGAGGGGAGTGCTGTCTAGGGTTTCAGAGTTTAAGGGCAGATGACATCATTAGATCATGTAGTCTGATCTTCTGAATATCCCAGGACTTTAAACTTCACCCAGACAGTCATAGGTTGAGCCCAATGACTTTAACATTTCCACCCTCAAGAGTTTAAGGCAGGGGTGGGCAAACTACGGCCCATGGGCCGGATCCAGCCCCCCAGCCATTTTAAGCCAGCCCTCAAGCTCCCGCTGGCACTCCAGCTGGGGAGCAGGGTCGGGGGCCACTCCACACGGCTCCCGGAAGCCACGGCATGGCCCCCCTCTGGCTCCTACGTGCTCCAGTGGCCCCCTCCGGCACTTCAGTAGGAGCTGCAGGGTGGCGCCTCTGCATAGGAGCCAGAGAAGGGACATGCCACTGCTTCCGGGAGCCGCTTGAGGTAAAAGCGCCGCCCGGAGCCTGCACCCCTGAGCCTCTCCCCAACCCCCTGCCCCAGCCCTGACCCCCTCCCACCCTCCAAATCCCTCGGTCCCAGTCCAGAGCACCCTCCTACACCCCAAACTCCTCAGCCCCACCCCAGAGCCCACACCCCTAGCTGGAGCCCTCACCCCTACTGGGAGCTCCCTCCTGCACCCTGAACACCTAATTTCTGGCCCCACCCCAGAGCCCACACCCCCAACCCGAGCCCTCACCCCAACCCCAATTTTGTGAGCATTCGTGTCCCGCCATACAATTTCTATTCCCAGATGTGGCCCTCGGGCCAGAAAGTTTGCCCACCCCTGGCTGAAGGGGTTGTGAGCCCCATGCAGAGAACAGGAGAGAACCAGGGTCTCTGGCGTTATGGGGAGCTTGATTAGGTAAGACCTTTGTCACCGAAATGTCAGGTCCACCTAGCTGAGAGCCAATAACAGCCAGACAGGGATAAGGAGGAGTTGCTTTATTCTGCAGAAGAAAGGAGAGCTTTGCACCTTGGTACAAAAAACTTTGTTTTACACACATTTTACAGATCCTTTATACACATTCAGACCAAGGTCCTTGCAGTGTTAACACTTGATTAGTGGTTGTCAGACCCGTGCTTTTGCTATCTGGTCAGTGAAAACCGGCTTGGGACCAGCTCCAACTACCTTAAGGCCTTGAAGGGAAGACAGTTGAAAAGTTCAGGCTACTGTGTCCTTAAGGTGTCTGCTTTCCCCTAATGGCTGCTGGCTGACATAACGACTGCTCTGTTAAGGAGGGGGGTCACTAGTAACTTTCACAGTCCCCCCTTCGGGCCTGACAAATTTAAAAATTGTCAGGCCCGTTATGCAATTTGCAATTAAGCTGGAGGGACAGATACTGGGTTTTTTTATGGACAGCAGAGCTTTTGATTATAGCATTACACAGGGATTTAGCACATTGTATTATTATTTAAATAACACATAGAAAGAAAAGAAAGAAAAGAATTCATTTAACAATTGTTTGAAAGAGCCCCGTAAACCATGACCCAAGGTCTGGAAGGAGGTCCTCAAAACTAAAGGTGTGATTAAGAGATACAGCACGGAAAACAACAGCAGCATTTTTAATGGCTTGTAAATCCTGCTTAATTAAGCCAGAATGATTAACATAGAAACAACATTTTTTCCTGATGCGAGCACAAGTCCCCCCCTAATTGGTTTATATGCTTGGAAGGAGCATTGAGAACGTTTGCACTTCCACCCAGAAAGTTTTTAAGTATGTTTTTATGGCCACAGATCAGATAGTACTCCTGATGTGTCTGTAAGGGCAATGGGCCAAGCCTGAACATGCTAGATCCCACTGCAATGCTTTCCCAGCCTTAGTGATATTTAATACCATTTTTGTCAGCAACTTCTGGGTTATAGAACTAAGGGTGGAGATAACATGTAACTTACCAACTCCAGCCTGTACCTGGGTTAGCTGTGCCCCAATTTTTTATTATGTTTTGGTTTTTAAAAATATTTTAAACTGCTGCTGCACTATTGGCCCCATCCCATAGGGATCCGGTCCAGTTTACTTTTTTTTTTTTTTTTAGAGTGAATAACCCAAGCCCTCTGTTGTGCTAATTTAATGGCAGCCCCCTGTGAGCAATTTGGGTATGTAGAGGTGATCTGGAAACTGGATAAGGGTAATGAAAATTTAACAGTCCCTAGTGTAGTGTTAATTACAGTTTATTGATATTTTAATACATTTTTTTTGGTGTAGTATTATACCACATTTTTAAGCATGGGTCCCACAATTTTTTTCCTGCCAGTGTATAATTTTTTGTTTTTTTTATCAAGGTCAGTTTTTAATGTCTTTTGTAGGCAGGAATCCCTGGACTTTGGTGGTTTTAGTGAAGCAAGTGTTCCTTCTTCTCTTTTCCTGAAACAGTGTGGTTTAGCATCATACAAGGGAGAGGTTACTAGCACTTTACCTTGTCTTTTATTTGCTGTCCAGAAGGCACAGAAGAGCTAGAAGGAGAAATAGGCTTATCAGTCGGAGAGTCCTCCCGAGGTGGAGGGGTCTTTTTACAGTGAGAAGCATGGGTCCAGGTAGGCAGACCTTGGCACTTCACAGCGGTGTTGGTGGTTAACAGGACTTGGAAAGGGCCTTTTCAGCATGGAGCCAAAGCAGTCTTTCGTTGATGGACTTTACGTAGACTCAGTTTTTTTGTTTTAATGAATGGCAGGGCTGCTAGGGTCTTTGGGTAGCACTTCTTTTATCTGTGAGAAAAGAAACCTAACACATTTTATTAATTCCTGGCAGTGTTTTGCAGATTTTATAGTTGCTTGGGCACATTCAGGCCCCCCTTTTTTTGGCTGTTAGCCAAGTCTTAGCTGTGGGCAGTGTCCTTGGATGAGGCCAGCGTTTTATTTTTGGACTGAGCTTGCTAGCTATATTTTTTTTTTTAGTTAATTTTTTTTTTGACTTTTTTTTAAACTTACAAAGGATACTTTTACTTTTTACTTATACATTTTTTTGAACAATGAACACATACACATTGCCATTATACAGTACATTAGTCTTATTACTTAATGTATGCCATGTACACCCTTCCAGTAAAATAACTTTATTACAGAGCTTTGGAGCAACAAACCAGGACAAGCACACCCCCTTTTGAGGAGTCCACTCGGTACAACCTCTGGTGTTCAATAGCTTTTCTTCCTTCCCAGCCCTTTGGCTAGAAATCTGAGGTAGCCAGAAGGATCCCATGGGCAATATGGGGAGTGGGTTAACCTTCCATGTCCTTGGTTTTAAAGACTGTTGGTATGCAAATTTTAACAACAATTTTGGCCATAGAACACAAAAATAATTTTTATTGTGCCAGTAAATGCATGGTACGTTGAATGCTATTCAGCTGGCATCCTTTAATGATTTGAAAGACAAAAGAACAGAGGTCTACCCCTTCTGGGCAGTTAGTCATTGCTTAAAATATTTTTTTATATATACACATACTTTTGTTGATTTTAGGCAAAACAGAGGAATTACCCCATATTTCCTTGTATTTGTTTTATAGGCAGCCCAGGTTTCAGTGGTTTCTACCTTATTAGTTAGAAAATTGCATTAATACAGATGCTTTCTGGCTTGCTTCCAGATTCAAAGCTATCCACAGCTTAAAATTTTTACTTAAAAAGGGACACAATTAACTTTTTTAGACTTTTGATTGCCTTTTACTTCTAACTCCTGCTTTCAAACACGCAGTAATCTGAAAGAGACAACACAACCTATATTGGTAGGTTTGCATTTTTTTTACGTTTGCTACAATATACACTGCACATGTTCCGGGGAAAATGCACATCCTCTCCACAATTCAATTTCCATAACACTAGCCACATCAATTTTTACACAAGGTGTAACTATTTCTTTTTGAACACTGGGTAAAAACCATTTACTTAACATATAATTCAAAGGGCTATCCTTAGAGGGTTTTACCAGAGACCCACCCATCTGCCTGCTGACACTCTAACAGAGAATTACACAGAGAACAGAGGGAATTATGGCCTAATAGGATCCTATTACAGGAATTTCTATTAATACTGACCGCTACAGGGGACGGGACAGAAGGATCCCAATTCGACCTCAGAGCTTCATCGCACACGATGGCTTCCACTCTGAGGAATTACGAATGAGAGGCTCAGTTCCATCCACACACCTAACGCCCAAATGTATAAGACAGAAATTTATTAACTGGTTAACCAGAACCAGATAGTGTCTCCTCATTCTATTAGGACTCACCTTATCGGAACACGAACCCCAGGGGCCGCGGTGAAGCAGAGAAAAGGGGCGAAACACCCTGTTGGCGCCGTTCCCAGTTCGCCACAGCCGTCCGGAGTCCAATGTCCGAGCTAGGAGAGTCCCGGCGGAGTCGCCAGAAACTGTCACCGAAATGT